GTTGGCTAAAATCTGCATTCCTTCCTCTCAGAATTTCCACTCGACTTCTGAGTTTTCCTCCCTTGTTCTGCATTGTTTTAAACTACAAACAAATCATCCGTACGTGTGATTTGCTGCCGAACTTTGTATTCGCTGAAACACTGGGGTTTGAAGTACCGCTACACCAGTGTGTAATTCGTTCTATCCTGGGAGGAAATAATCCATAACCTTGGGTACTAGGAGGGGATTAAATTTCTTAAGGAAACACTGTGAATTCAGTGGGCTCGAATTAATTTCTGTTTTATTTATATTTACGTTTATAAGCTAACGTTCTAATTTCCAGAATCATTATTTACAAATACAGGCATAACAACAACACTATATACTTAAGAAGTTAATGTTAATTCTTTTCTTTCATTTTGAATTTCCAACAGATATTGAGGAGCGACATCGGTTTATTCGTGCATATCTCAGCTCTTCAGGTAACCTTGAAGATTGATGGCCTTTACTGTTGTCTGCACCTCTCTGTCCAAAGCATACGGTCTTGAAATAGGCCCTTTAATAGATAAGAGACAATTTGATCATGAGCTGAGGGTTCAGTAAGTAGGTGGTGTTACAAGTATAAAAATTCCAATACTTACAATAACAACAACATACCAAGTATTTATCCCACACCGTGGGGTCTGGGGAGGGTAGTGTGTACGCAGATCTTACAGGTTGTTTCCAATATACCCTCGGCTCAATATAGTATAAGTACCACATTAATAAAGATATAGGCAAGAAGAGACTATCAAAAAGTCATATAAAAGCAGAATAACACAACAAGACAGTAAAGTGATTAGCAATGAAAGAAAACAATGGTTAGTCATAAAAACCTACTACCAACAGAAAACGAGACTTTGTGCCAATACTAAACTTATGAACACTCTACACTACCTACTCTACTACTCTAATTCTTGACCTCCATACCTTCCTATCAAGAGTCATGTCCTCGGTCAGCTGAAGTTGCGCCATGTCTTGCCTAATCACTTCTTCCCACCTCTTCTTTGGCCTACCTCTACCTCTCCGTAGGCCCTCCAATGTCAACCTCTCACACCTCCTCACCGGGGCGTCTGTGCTCCTCCTCCTCACCGGGGCATCTGTGCTCCTCCTCCTCACATGACCAAACCACCTAAGTCGTGCTTCCCGCATCTTGTCCTTAATAGAGGCCACCCCTACCTTATCGCGAATAACCTCATTTCTGATCTTATCTAACCTGGTGTGCCCGCACATCCACCTCAGCATCATCATCTTTGCTACCTTCATCTTTTGGACATGAGCAATCTTGACTGGCCAACACTCAGCCTCATACAACATCGTTGGTCTGACCACCATTTTGTAGAACTTACCCTTAAGTTTCGGTGGCACCTTCTTGTCACACAAAATACCGGAAGCGAGTCTCCATTTCATCCATCCTACCCCAATACGATATGAGACATCTCCATCAATCTCCCTACCCCCTTGAATAATAGACCCGAGGTACTTAAGACTCCCTCTCCTAGGGATGACCTGCGAGTCCAGTCTCCCCTTCCCTTCCTAAAGTCTCGCCGTTGAACTTACACTCCAAGTATTCTGTCTTGGTCCTTCTCTACTTGAAACCCTTAGATTCCAGGGTCTGTCTCCATACCTCTAATTGCGCGTTCACACCGTCTCGTGGAAAAATTCCAATACTTGTGGAAAAATAAAAAGTACAGCAGAAATCCAGCCAAACTGATGCATGTTTATGTCCCTTTAGGACTACGTAACATTTATTATTCGATTTGGATAGGCATCTGTGAGTGAAATTTTTGTTGACTTTTGAGCAACATAAGGATCAGTGTCTTTTGTGCTGGGACCAATATGTCAAGAATTTAATTACTTCAGATGTGTAGAACCTGATTCCCAACTAACTTGGGCATAGTAGTAGTAGTAGTAATTGTTATTTGTAGGACCTAATGCATTTATAAATTATGATAAGAACTCAGGCTCAACTCTGGTTGTTTCCTTTTCCAATTATCTTAATTGAGTTTGGAATCCCATTAACAAGTGCAGGCCATCAACCAAGTGATGAGAAAGTAAAGAAGCTCGCTGACGAAGCAGAGAAGTATACGCTTGCAAATCACTTGTTCTGTGGATTGTAGGGAGTCATCTCGGTAATGCCTTTTACATTTTTCGTCTTGATAATCACATTTCACCGCGCATTTGAGGGACAAAATCAATCCTCTAATCTTTTCTTTCTGTATTTGTTGTTTCTTTTGGCAGGCATATGTTAATAATATTGAGTTTGATTACATGGAGTACGCAAGGGGAAGATTCAAGCAGTATTGGTTGAGAAAGGCGGAACTCTTAGGTGCCACAGACAACTTGTCTCATGCAAACGGTTCAGCTGAAGCAAAAATAGATTCTCCGCTATTGGTTGATGTCAAAAACATGTACATTAACAGTATAGATGTAAAAGCTTTCATTATAAACAGGCCTGCGTCGTATAATGAGTGGAGCATTTAGAATCTTTCGATATATGTTGATAGGCTATTATTGAGGTAAGTATCTGTTGTATTGCCAGTGAGAGTGTTCGCACCAACTATATTGTCCAGTTCAATAATAGCTGCACCTCTTTTTCTTAAAAGTTCAAAATTTAGCTTTTAGTTAACCTCATGAATAAGTGATATTCAAATTAGAAAACAATAATATAAATAAAACACCACAAGATTTAACTTTTAGTTGGTTATACTAGAACATAAGGAATCTTTACCCAAATAGCTAAAGTGGTTGCATAGTTTTTCACTAATGTAAGCATTTTATAATAATAGACAGAAAACCAACCAAATAGGAAGAGAACATGCGCAAATGGTTATCTAATTTTCATCTCCCCAATCCACCCCCTAAAAAAGGGGAAATAGGAAAACAACTACTCTAGCCAGAATCGAACCCAGATCTGTACCATGGCAGGGTACTATTCTACCACTAAATCACTAATGCTAGTTGAGAAGAACAGCTAGAGCACTTTTAATTGTATTATCATGTGATTATCTCTTCTAAATGTGGCAACAAATTGCTACTCATTGACAATATTTCTAGGAAACTACTAATCAGCCACTCAAAAATTATTTTAAAAGGACAATCATTACGTTGATTCATACCTTTTTATCGAAACATTGTGTTTTAAGAAAAGACGAAATGACTTCTTGGCCCCTAAAGTTGCACCGGATTTTAAAGTCGATATATGAACTTTGAATTTTCTCATTTTAATACTTCAACTCAATTGATTACTTGTAAGTGAACACTTTTGACCTTTGACTATGCTTATGTGGCAGTAGCACAACTGACGTAGTCAAAGTGTGTGTTAGTCACGCAGAAAAAGAGCGTCACTCGAATTACTGAACTTAAAAATATTAAATCTGAATAAGAAATGGAAAAGTAAATAAAAGACAAACAAATAAAAAATAAAAAAAGTCGAGAAACTTAAATCCCTCCTTGTAACCCCTTTTTTATCTTCTTCCTTAACCCTCCCCCCACCGCTACCACTCAATTTCTTTTTCACCATTGTTTCTTCCCGATCCCCCACTCCCACCTCATTTCTCCTCATTGTGACTTTGAACAATCCCTTGGTCACTCTTCATTTCTCTACAAACTAATCATTTTAGCGTTGGTTGGTCTATCTCATTTCTCAGTTTGACAACATATATGGTGGTGACATCGTTTTCGGCGATCTTCTTTGGCTGGTTGAGACTACGAAATTACTGGAATTTCAAAGGTAGGAAGTAATAGGTGCTCAAGAGAGGTTTGTTAACTTTGATTTTGACGAGTGGCATCAATATGCCATTCTGATGAAAACCTTGTCAGAATTTTAGAAGATTTAATGGCTTGTTTGGACTAATTTCTAGATTGAGGTTTGGTTAAGATATATACTAGGATATGAATTGATCATATTTGAATTTTTACCATTGGAAATAGTGGTTGGGGAAGGGAAGGTTTTGGAGGAGCTATGGTGAAGAAGAAAGGAAAGAGAAAAAAAATTAAAAATTTGGTAAATTAATTTTAGAAGGGATGGGCACCAGATATTACAAATGTCAAACAACAAATGGTCTTAGTATTGACGTGATATTCATGTTAGGCAATTGAGATACACGCTCTGAGGGAGGGGTTTATTATAAGTATTTTTATCGAGTTGGGGTGCTAAAATGGAAAAATCAAAAGTTCATGTATCGGCTTTAAACTCCGGTGCAAGTTTAAGTGGCCTAAAAGCCATTACGTGTTAAGAAAAAGAAGTGTGTCTTTATTTTAAATTACATAAACTATTTTAATTTTTTATAAAAACCGATAGGAAATTTCATATAAAAGGTTTTAGTTGGTTTCACTTATAATAGGGGAAAATTATTCTTCTCCTCGCCAAAATGAAATGAGTCTAATTTTAGATATTTGAAAATTTAACCTAAAAAATTGTCTAATTAAAATGTAAATTGTTCCATCTTTCACTTCACCTTCTTTCTTTACCCAATAAAAAAACATACCATATTACCATTGCACATGTTTATGGAGTGTTTGGGACCTTGAAATTGAGAAAGGAGTTGTATCCTATTATTATACAGATACTAATATTATAACATTTAGATTTAGATCTTCTATTATATTTTCGTATGAAATTGTAATTCAATATTGAGGTTTGCATCACTAAAAACTTTGCAAGTTTGTATCACTAGTGACAATCAAGACGCATAGTTTTTCAACTAAGCCATCTTTTAATTTCCACTAACTTTTTGATTTATTTAGACTAACATCAATTTGATTTTTTTATTTTTTCACTTGCGAGAGAAATTCATAACCAAGGAGTAATTCAAGTCAAATAAGTTATCTTTCTAAATCTAGATTTGCTTTAATTGTCAAGTAGTAGAACTCCCCCGTGCCGTTTCAACAATATTACTTAAATAACCCTTGATACATGTCACATGCAATTACATCCCTAAGACTCTTTTCGTAATTTCCTCTATCGTCATTTCTCCTCTCCTCTTCTCTTCTGACTAACTTAACAATAGCAAGACGAAAGAAAAACTTCCAGACAAACCCTAGTGAAAAACGCAGAAACAAAAATCAGAGAAAATGGCTTCCACCAATCAAACTCCCACAAAGAAAAACCCCAAGAAAGCCAATCTTTTAGATCATCACTCTATCAAGAACCTTCTCGATGAGTCAGTCACCGAGGTAACTTTTTTTACCCAACGATTAAATTGAATTGTAGGGGTTTTTATGCTGATTTTGTTTAATTATGTGTTCAATAGATTGTGACAAGCAAAGGATATCCAGAAGATGTGAGATTGAGTAATGTAAGGTTGTTGATTGGGACAATTATCATAGCAATTGCTCTTGTTGCTCAATTCTACAAAAAGGAGTTTCCTGCTAATCGTGATTTTCTCATTGGCTGCATTGTGTTATATCCTTTTTTTTTTTTTTTAATTTTTTTTTTTTTTTTTAATTTGTTTGCTGTGATGATTACTGAGTATTGGAATGAAATAGATCCAAATTGAACGGAATGAATATAGGGATTTATATGACCTGCCCCGGCTAATTTGAGATTGCAGCGTAGTAGTTGTGTTTTCGTTGATCAGTAAAAGAATTTAAAAAATTTGGATTTGTGACCTCAAACAATTTTTGAACTACCTTTGCCACTTCAAGGGGATTCCAAAGTTAAAATATATGTGGAAAATTTTTTGTTTTTGCCCTATTTGTGCAGTACCATTTTCCAGTGAAGGGGATTCAATTGAAACACCTTCCTTGGCTGTTGGCTCCACCGCTGGCTTATCACTGAGGAAGAGTAGAAAAATCGAAAAGAAAAAACAATTTAATTCGGGGCCTGCTTGCTTGGGACTCTTTTTTACATTGTTTTATCAATTTTGCTGATCGTATCTGTTTCATTCATCATAAATACTGTTTGGTTTGCCGTGAGAAAATTATTATTTTTAACTAATACCCAATTATTTTTCCAGTGGAGTTTTTTTAACCATTCTCCAGTGGAATTGACAATTGTAACTTGATATTCGGTAATTGCATATTTAAATTATTAAAATGAGTTTCAAGATCTAGATGTAGGTGTTCCTTAGTGTTCTAATGGATAGTCGTAATGTAATAGCCATGGTTAAAGAGGGTTGAATTTTTGATGTGAATGCTCATAAATGAAAGCGATAATTTTGAAAGCTGCTACACGTTTATAGGTTTTGATGGTATGATGGTTGAAAAGGTAAGCATTTGAATTTCTTTGTACATATTGGGAGTTCGATTGATGGAAGTTTTATGATGCTTGAGATCTTTTTTTCTTTTAGTATGTGAAACTTTTCGTCCAACTTTCTTGTATCCTTGACTATGGCACGTATATTCTGTTCAACGTGATATTGCAGCTGATTATCCACACAAAGGAAAAGAATGCAATTTTGTTCACCTATCCTCCGGAAGTAAGTTGTCAATCAACATGCCTTTTTACCAGCAATAAATATATTAGTGAAATTGCAACATGCTAATAAGTTTTTGTCGTGCATTAATTGAAGTTGTGAATTCTAACATGTCTTTTCTGGAGTAGCCACTGATGAATGTGAGGATTTTTTCTTGCTGAATGTGCTTATTGGAAGTAGAATTTAACTACCTATTAAAACAGGTGGTTTAGATATTAATCTAACACATTTTCAGTCTATTTTGAATCGTCAAAAGTTAGGCTGGTGAATTTTCCTGGAAATATTATGCTTTATTGAGTCGCCCACTTAATCTTCGATTGCTCGGGGAAAAGTATTTCAAAACTAAGTTGCTGAGAATTCTTTTTTTCCATCAAAATCATTTCTTACTTTTTAGAAGAAACAATATAAGGTCCATGGAAGTCTGTATGATGTTTCATTCCATGTAGTCCTGTTATTTTGGAGGGTATATGAGTTTGTTCAGTTTTAACCTTCCCACAATCTTGTGCTTTGTTGAACATATTACTACATTAAGCTCGAAACTATACTACTGGTGCACAACTTTCTGTTTTTTTAATAGACTAGTAGCTTTCTGTTTTGTCCATCAACATTGCTACCCAGGCAGTATCCTAAGCATTCTACCCTTGCCCATTTGGTTTAAAGATGATCTGTAAAAGTCTATTCTGTTATTTCCTACTAACATTCCTCTTTTATGTGTTTTATAGTTCATAATAAAACCTTTAATCAAGACATTATCTCCTAATCCCATCTTTATTATCATTATAAATTCTTATCAAAATAGGAGAGGAATCAACGAGAACTGTCAACTCTCGGGCCTTTTGGTTCCTAGCTGCACCTCACTTTGATGCATGCTACAACCCCTTTTTTTCCACACACCATTAAAAGATAGAAAGACGCCTATTTAGAGGTATAGGAATTCTATCATAGAATAAATAAGAATGTAGTGGGTGAAAAGGTTGTGATAACTGTGATCATGAGTTGGTGAATAATTATTTGACCTTTAGTGCGTTAATAAGTGGGTAGATAATGGATTAGAGATCCTTAACCAGATTTAATTGGATAAACGAATCACATAATGACTCGTTTGAAATGCACTGTTCTACTTATTTTATATGACTTCCTTATGGTGTGAATGCAAGACTTGTGGAGGTTGAGTTTATGAATTCTTAATGAAAAATGACTTGGGTTACTGGATCATCTTTGACAGTGTGCTAACCAATAAAGCTCTTATGATAAGTGGGCTTGTTCTAAAAAACACTCATGAAAATCGAGATAACACAAGGTCATCATGTGCTAGCCAATAATGCTTATGTCAACATATTGATTATTATGTGTAAGTAGTGATACTTCATTTCTTATAAGCAGTCTTAGTTTAAGTCTTGAGACCGACTCTGGAGTAAAGATTGTTGTTTATTAAGTGGAGGTTCAATGCAGAGCACACCTTCATTATGAGTAATAGTCTCCAACTAGTAACTCTCTTTATTTTTTATACGGGAAAAGGTCCAGATTTGTCCTTCTACTTTCGGATGCTATTCGAACAAAAATATCCCTACCATTAGCAAACTTATCACATATACCCCTTACCCTAACGGATGTTCCTACCCAGATTCCAAAATGCCACCTGGATGCCATGTGTGTATTTATTTTCCAACTTTTATTAGAATAAATAACCAACGCACTTTGAAAAAGAAAAGAAAAATTCACCAAACCCACTGAATTATATTCTACTCCTTCCCATCTATAACAAAAAACCACCACACTGTAAAATCTTAGTTCTTCAAAGAGAAGAAAAACACAACATGAATTTCAAATTTGCGATGGATTCTCAGTAATAAAATGTACTGCAGATGAAAAGAATTGTCACTAGGAATTACTGGGAATAACAAAGAACCCTACTTGGATATGCTTTTCTGGAAGAGCATTAGAATGGATGAGTCTAAATAAAGAAGTTCTATCACAAGGAAACCATTCATGTGATTTGCAGAATCTGCTCTAAAACGTTAGGTATATTTTTAAAAAGAGTTTTTCTTGATATTCTTTAGTATTATCTTAGCATTTCTATGAAAAAATATTTTTTTGAGGAAGATTTCATAAATTCTGGAACTTCCACTGATTGATACTTTGGGATCTTTGTATTTTAGATTGGAGTCTGGCATGGAAAGTGACTAGGCAGGGAAAGTAGCAAATTTGGAAAATAGAACTTTTTTTTTTTCTAGCGAGAAACTGGAAAATAATTTTTCTAAAATGTAAAAGAATAAAGCATGGGTGGTTTTATTAGAAAAAACCTAACTTAACTAAAGTCGTAGAATCTGCAATTATTTTGAAAGTATGAACGTTAACAATGATGCCTATCAAGGTAAGTGGCGTTGATCTGATTTTGCTCAGTAGATGAGCCTTCTTAATGATGAGGAAACAGTAAACCTCTTCCCTAGGGATGCCATTATTTGGATTTCTGTGTTTTGATTTCCTTTTTGCTCCCATTCTTTAGTGTGAATGGAAAAAATGAGAAAGTGAAAAATCTATTAATTTAAAGAACATATTTCAAATTCTGACTATTAGGTGGTGATGTGGCATGCCACGTGGCGTCCACCTCACTCAAATGTCAGGTTACGCGGTGCAATGTTGGACTCCTGGACCTTCATTAGGGTAAGGGGGCATATGTGATAAGTTTGCTAATGGTGAGGTTATTTTGTTTGAATCAATGAATAGTATAACGGTGATAGTATTTTTGTTTGAATAGTATAATGGAAGTTAAATGTAAACTATTTCCAAAAGTAGAGGGGTAATCTGTCCCTTTTCCCTTTTTATATTATAATGAGTGGAGAAATTTGGAGAATATGCTTTTTAATATTTTTCTTTTCCTTTTACTTTTCTTGTTGCGTATAGCGGAAATATTGGTTTTACGCATCTGAACAGTGTTCTGCTCGTCAGAAACATCTCAATGGTTATAGATGACTTCTCTGAGCACTTAGTATCCCTGATCTTTTTCTTCTCTAGATGGGATCTTCTTTCTCTGGCACTTCCCTTTGATGTCACTTAATTCTTTATTCTTGATGTTTCTTCAAGTGGAGTTCCTCTCTCTCTTGAATTTTTTGTATACTTCCATTGTATAGTCTCCACTCTCCAGCGTCCACTTGGTCTTATAATTCAGAGTTAAACAGAGTGATAGGCTCTGGTTTGAGGAGCAAAAGAGGTTATAATGGGGAAAGAAGACGAGTGCTATCAGTGATTGTGTACTGAGGCAGGCTTAATGGGTACGCTCTACTAATGCGCCACTTTTCTAAGTGGAATGACTGTCTTAGAGTTTTAGACATTCAACATCATTACCTCTTCGTATATCTTCATCATCCTTGATGTTCATAGGTTCCGTGAAATACTGCCACCTATTTATATTGGAGCTACCTTCTTCAATGCTTGTGGTACTCCTATGGCTATGTAAATTTGAGCATGTGGTTACTTCAGGGAAAGGTCAGGATGAGGAATGGACTTGAGATAAAAAAACAGACCACAGATTTGCCCTCATCAGCGTTTCTGGGAGCCTGATATTGCATGTTGTTTTCTCTAGGATTGTTATTTACCTACCAAAAAGGGAGGTCAATGCTGTTTTTTTTTTATTTTGTCTTGGTGCTTCCAGGGTTTATCGTGGTGGGGTCTCACTAATGCACCTCAAATCTTTTTATCAAGATTCTTTTGCCCCAACCCTTTGTATTTCCTTCCTAGTGTCAGTTTCACTCGATATAAAATGCTCTATTTTTCTAGTGGTGAAATCTTTGTCTAGTAGCACATTGTGTTTCAGAATTCCAATCTGGTGTGCATCTTTTGTTTCTTTTCTTAGTCTTTATCTCGATCTTCGTGTCTCGTAACTCTTTCATCTGGCAGCATACTGTGTACAGACCTCACATCTGGTGGAGCCCCTTTCTTTTCTTGTGTCTTCTACTTTTTTCTTTCCTAGTGTGAAGTCATCATTTTTTTATTTTTTTTTTTGATGAAGGGAATTTCATTAAATGGCATCTAGAAGATGCATAGCAAAAATTACAAAATAAAGGTATTGTCTGCTCATATACAAATGAAGTCATCAATTTTTATTTCTTTCTTTTCCTCCCAAGTGTGAAGTCTTCATCAGTATTTCTAGTGTGAAATCTCGATAGCTCCTCATCTGGCATCACAATGTTCCGGCTTCAAATTCTGGTAGATTTTCATTTTATTTTGTCTGTCTTTTTTTCCTAAACATTTTTGTATGCGAACTTACGTGCTCCTTTCAAGTAAGTGGTACACTCTAATGAGTTGCTAGAGGCTTATATGCTGCTATGAAGAAAGCATGAAGTAGTGCCTGTTTGTCATTTATTCTCTACTATCTACTTGATTTTGTTATGTTGCTTTTAGTGGTGAATTTTGAGGTTACTGCTCTTGAAGTATGTCAATGCCTGCAGTGTTCTTTCCTATATATTTAGCTGTCTTGTCGCTTGCAAGATACATTTAGCCATCGGCAACTCATATCTGCTGCAGTAGCGTTTTTAGATCTTGTGACTTTTGTGATGCTTTCTTATTCTTACTTTAGCTGAACCTGGTGAAAGTTGAACACCGTAGGCTTCTGCTTCTCCCGAAGATTTCTGTGTAATCATGAGTATCACCTGCATAGATGTTTGTTGAGCCTCTTGTCTTCCAGCGTCTGAAGGCTCAGTAGTTATGCTACTTTCGATCATCTGGCAAACTCATCTACCCTTATAAAACTGTCATTAATCTTCTGTCAATTGGAGATGCAGTAGCTGAAATAACAATCTATTGCCTGGTCAATCTCGTACTGAATTTCTTGCAGTTTGGCAATGAATTTCTTATCTCTGCTCAAATTCCATTGATGTAACTACTAACTATTAGTTGGATGAGGTTGTTTGCTCATAAAGGATTGTTTGTGACAGGGGTCTTTTAACAGCACTGGCTTAATCGTCTCTTCGAAGCTGCCTAGATTCTCTGATAAGTACACACTTACAGTAGAGACTGCTGATCCCAAGTCGATTTCTGCAAAGCCAAAAGTGGAATTTACCAAGAGTGTCACACAATGGTCTCTTTCTCCCTCCCGTCCTCCACCCCGCTTGTTCAAAGAGGAAAATAGTATAAAAGGGATTTCATGAACTGAATGACTTGATTATGGTGATTTACTTTTTTGCAGGTTTACCATGGATGGAGTTCTTGTGGAGGGGCTATTCTGGAAAGATGTTGAAGCCTTAGTTAATAACTATGCTAAGGAACACAAAAAGAGCAAATAAATGCAATGTCAAGACTCAAGACATATTTTGTTAGGGATCTTGGTGGCCTAGATAGCCAATGAGATTGAAAATGTCGGTTAATGACTTCTGGTTAATATCACTCAAATCATTATAGAAGCAAATTGATCCGTTTTCATTGTTGAATTATAGTGATCCATTTCCATTGTTAAAAAAGTGATCATTTTTCTTTGATAAAATGAATGTGGTCATGAACATAGCCTTTCTTGCCCCCACCCCCTGCACTTGTTATTGGCTCGGTTAGACACCTCTAAAGATAGGAAATCGATGACAATGTAATCCGGTGTTCTTGTTGTTTACCAACTCTATGAGAACCAAAGTCTCCTACGCACGCACTCTCTACTTTGTTATTTTAATTTTACATATTAATCAAATGAAATTAAAATGATTTAATTAAAGTCTCTCGTAGTAAATGTTTCAAATTACTTATCTATTTAAATAAGAATACTAATACTGAAGTGGATCTATACATGCATATTTCGTACTCGATGCTCAAGACCTTTTGAAAGATCAGCCGCCGAATGTAAATAGCTTTTATCTATATACTATATTAAAAGCACGAAGTTCCTTAGCGAAATATTGTTCGCTTTTTTTATCCTTTAAAAATAGATTTTATAATAGGTGAAATAGTAATTTAACTATTTTTCTTATATTTAAGAATTTGAAATCATGTAAAATATTGACTACTAAATATTTTCCTATTTTAGCTATGTACGAGTCCTATTTTGTACATACATTGTATCTTTAATTTGTAAAAGCTTTATTATTATTTCCTTATATTCTTTAATTAATTAATACTTCTAAGTTTTATACAAGGAAATTAATTAATTTTTACACAAGTCAAGATCTACTGCTCCTAATAATTTTCTGCTAATAAAAACAAGTTATATATATATATATATATATATAAAATATTTTTGCGAGACTAACTGTTTTAGTGGGTTTTGATCGAGTTGCATTGGTTTATAGTGATATATGCTCTTTTGCACATCTCAATGAGTGAACTCAATGCTAGAAATTTGTTCACATGAGATGATCCATGCGGTATACATAATCTATAAACTGAGAAGTACTTTTGTTCAATAGATTAGGTACTAAATTTGCCGCTTCCATTTTTTTGTTATCCAACCTATGAGAATATTTTTTCAATGATCTTCGGTTTTACTTGCTTGTGGTTGCAAATGACAGGTCTTTCAGTTGCTTTGCAATGCTACAGTAAAATTCACGCACCTACGGTCAAGATATAATTCAGTTGCTTGTAATGCTACGGTAGAATTCACGCACCTACAATCAAGATATAAGACTTGCAAATTTAATTTACTTGATTTCCTATCTATTTTGCAATTTTGTTTCGTTTATTTGTTCCAAAATAGAATTGTAATCTGCACGTATGACTCTGGATCTATATATTTTCCAATCTAAATTTGAACTTTATATGTATGATTGTAATTAATTTTTCTTAAAAATATTTCTTTAGATTGATTGTCAATACTTCTATATTATTTTGTTGTGGTGACATTTCTTCTGGAACAATTCTGCACTAAGTTATTTTTATGTTATTTTTCTAGATATTGCCATCCTATTTTTCCAAACTCTCTAATTAATGTAGAAATTTTACGCCAAATTATGAGTTTGCTTATACTAATTAGAACTTTGTTTCCGGTATTAAGTAAACTAAAATCCGTGCGTGTAAATATCATAATGGGATTCTACTTTTGCAATAGAAAGCTTTTCCTTACTAATTTATTGAAAATAATCCCTAAAGTATATTTTATTGATTAAAGAAATTTGAATATGTGCATTTTGCTCATAAGAAAAAAAAATACTGCTTATGTTATTAATTAACATTGTTTAAGTGTTTATGCCTTTTAGAATATCTGTGACCATAAACTAAACGTGATGTAGGTATTTCCTTGAGAATATGCTTTTCCAAAAAAAAAAAAACTTAAATATTCAAGGGTTATGCGTTTTTGCGCATGATTACTTTTGAAGTTGAAGTAATGCAATTATAAAATTGAAATAATTTTAAATTAAACAGATTGACCGAAGACTTTTATGGGGCTTCCTTTATTAAGTTAACTAAATAGGATCAGTATTCATAGTCTTTGATAACATATACTTTTTAAAATTTTTATTTTATAACCTAACATATTTTAATGTATTTGTTAAAAGTTTGTACACATCGAGACGGGGTACACGCGCAACGCGCGCATCCCAAGACTAGCAAAAGAGAACTTGAAGCCCCTATCAAAATGCCTTTTGCCTTTTTACCATTTAAAAATATTTCACACTAGACAAAATAGTCATTTAATTATTTTTCTAATATTTAAAACTTCAAATTCAACTAAAAATTTTACTTAAGAATATCCTAATATTTATGACTTCAAATTCAATTAAAATTTACCTTATTAAATGTTTTCTTTATTTGATCAGTTTTTACAAATATTCTTTTAGAGTTTAGTACGTGGCCAATGTTATTTTTTTAATTCTTAGCCTATGAGGTATGTAATACTATTTTTTTCTCCAAATTACCAATAATTGATTACCTAAAAATATGAAACATCAATGAGCAATGCAAGTTCATCTTTTTCTGTTAACTTCTTAAGAGTTTTAATTTATTTTTAACTTTAAATTTCTAAAAGTCTGAACTAATATGGTATAAATTTAGAAATAAATTAAGCTACAGTCATACTATGTGAAATTGTAACTACAATTAATATTTTAAACTTACGATAAACTAATGTATTTGGAGCTTTTGAAATAGCTATAAATTTATCATTTCCCTCCTATAATTTTTAAAATTTGACATCAACATTGTGAACTCTTGAAATTTCAAAGTTGTTATTAGCAAAGTATATTCGGAATGAGTTTAGAATAGTATTAACTTTTATTTGGCATTGGATGAACGTCCAGAGAAGGGAATTTACACTTGGATCAATAAGAATCCAGGCAACTTTTTTAACATGAAGAGGTCCATTTGACTTATCTATAATTTTGATTAACTTTGAATGAACATTTTTTTTTTGTATTAATGACATAATGAACGTAGAATTTACAAAGAGATGCAAGATGAGATACAACAACATAGCATATTTTTATTTTATATAATATAATATTTATAACTATAAATACTATAGAACTAATTACACTAAATTCATTCAGAAAATGTTGAATTCAACCATATATTGTATCAATTTACTAATATTTATTTTCATCATTAAAAATATATTGATTTTAGTTTAACCTCCATTGCTATGTTTTCAATAATTTGCGTATATATTTTATATTGATAAACGTGATGCACACGTATACTAAAATTAGTATTAACAAAAATCACTTCGTAACTGGTGCGGCCAAACACATAAGCATATTATTAGAAAGTGGCTAAATCAAAAAAGTAAAAAATGGATAACTGCAAGAGCATAAGCCCCGTTCAGTTAGCCCAGTTAAACTGGACCACCTGAATAGCTGTGAGAAAACTACCCTCTATAGCCCCTCAAAATTTTAAGAAAAAATGGCATGGTATAACAACCTATTAAGAAAATTAGCATTAAAAAGCCCTAGTTTTAGATATTTGCACCCTATAGCCCTACTTTAAATTTTTATTTGTTTTAATTGGCATAGCATAGCCAACTTATCTACTTCAGCACTTTTCCCTCACTCCTCCCCTTTCTCCTTCTTTTACGCTTTTCTTCTCTATCTTCCCCAAATTTCAAAATTTTCAAATACTCCAATTCTCTCCATTTTTATCCGATTAATACTCTGTACTATGTCTATTTAATGTTTTTCTTAACTCTTTTTTTAAATCACTTTGGATTAATAATGTAAGGTTAATGCTTCAGGTCAATATCAAGCTTACCAAATTCATTTTTTTTATTATTGCTTTGAAGGAGTTGAGAGCTCACATGAACTAAATTGATAACATATCTCCTTAAAATAGGTTTTGCGCATTATGATAGGCTAAATTTGTGTGTAAATAAAGATTGTTTGGTACCTTCTTATGCCAAAGTAATTGCTGCAGCGTCATTCTTTCGTGCAGTTGTATGTGCTTTGTCTAGTGAGAGTAATTAATTGTCGTACTGTCATTTATAACCATTTATAAACAATGGAAGTAACTGTATAACTGACTAGCGTAATTGTATATTAAAACCTTCAACTATATGGATATGTTGTATATCTACATGTATATCAGACCCAAAAATTATTAACTTCATCTTCTTACACGTATACTTCTTAAAAGTATATCCTAATATGTATATCTAAGAGTAAAAAATATAAATATATCTTTATATTATTTATTTCATGTATATCAAGACATTAATTGTATATCATACAATGCTTAACTTGAAACACATCAGTTTTTACTTAAATGCTTAGTTTTATTTTATTAAATCTTTAAGTGTTATATTTATTGACTTAAATCTATTTTTATTTTGGCAGCATATTGATGTCATCTTCTACTATCTAAGGAAAAAAATAAAGTACGATGTTAACGTTCCAAAGTCATTCACCACGACAAACTTTTCATTTAGTGTTAAGGTAAAATCATTGTATGATCAGTTTCTGTCAAGCAATAGGGACTATGGTGTCATCCCTAAGGATCATGAAATAACTGATTATATGCGAGGCTCTCGCATGTCGTGTAATGTTCCGTGGCACACTGTCGATCATGTACTAATTCCTATAGGCTTAAAAGACGAATGGCATTGGATTTTAGGTGTGTTGACTTTTAAGGACAGGTGCATACACGTGTATGATTCCATCAGAGGAGCGCAACATGATGCTAAAATTCATGAGGCCGTTCAACCATATGCAGTGTTGATTGCTCGTTTCTTGGCTAGTACATGTTTTTACAGGAAGAGACATGATATTGATTTGACCAATGTACCATACAACGACAGACCACTTGCTGATCCATTAGCTATTCACTTGGTTGATGATCTGCCACAACAAGAAAACGCGTATGTTAAGTTTTCGTATATTTTATTTCTTTAAATAATTATATTTTATTAAAGGGCGTTGATTCCTTCTAAATTATCTTCACTTTGTTTTAGTGATTGTGGTGTATATGTGGCATCTTTTGTGGAGTATTTTATCCATCAAAGATCAATTCCAGCTGTCTTCGATGTAGAGAAACATCGCAAACGACTTGGTACATTGTTGTGGGATTATGGTAGATCTAAACAAGAGAATGAAGATGAAAGTGAGCCAGAGTTTTCTAAAAGAAGTTTCAGAATAAATGCTCCTTTAACATTGAAGAACAAGTAGTCTTACTCTTTAGTTTAGTTATCTATTATTTTGGGATATGTAAATACATTTGTATTTTATTAATGGCTCATTATGGCACAATATTTGTAATATATTATTTATATTTTGCAGGTTAAACGTATCTTTTTCCTTTTTTCGTCAAATTAAGAAATTACCAGTATGTAGCATGGGTATATTTATGGATTTTTTTTTACTTTGTTTACTGTTTATTCTTTTTTTTAAAAATTTAACATGTGTATGTCTAATTTTCTTTAGCATGCTCATGTCTAACATAAATGAATGTTGCAGTTCCATAAACAAACACCACCATTATTGTGTATCTCTACCCACATGTATATCAATACATAATTTTACTACTATATAACTATATATATATATAGTTTAAAGATATACAGAACAAGATATATATATATATATATATATAT